TGCGTCCTCTCTGAGGAGCAGCGTAACATGAACTCGTCTCCTGCACAACTTGATTTACAAGGTTCTGAATCACACGGATTTGAGTAAAAAATGTTTAAAACACCACAGAAAAAGAAACGACTCCCCTCAAAAGATAAAACATTACGACACGATTGCTGCAAACTGAACGAGAGCAGCGAGTTTGCATCTATTAATGTGTGTTTATGAGTTCATTGGGTGTCTTGAACAGGCCTGTGCAGCGTGGCAGCTGTTATTGGCGCCGCTCTGCTCCAGCTGAGCCCCGGACGGCCTCATGAAAGAGGTGGAGGGGGTTACATCAGCCTCTGACTGCGCTGCTCCAGATGTGAGCAGCTGTGCTGCTTTACTGAGCGTTTTCAGGATTTCTGATCAGGCTCGGACACTTCAGTACATTTTATTGGGCTGCAGCGCAGCAGCCTGGCAGTAGAAGCGGAAAGTGGCTGAAAGTGTCCAAAGATTAGGAGAGGAGTTAACCCTCACATATGGAAGTCTTGGAAAATGTGTGCATGCCATTTCAACCTTGCCTGTCTTTTCTGCTTTTCTTCTGCAGTGAGTAAAGCTGATGTACACCATGTGTGCTGACCATGAGCTTCTTTTCATCTTCCTTTCTTCTCCTCAGATTTACCTTTGCCTTAGATTTTTCCCTCTGTCGTCCGTGTCAGAAACACGAGCTGTGCGGGAAAGCTCGACTCGGTGTGCTTTTGTTTCTTTCTTCAAAGCGTCGTCTCCATCTGTGCCCACAGGTGACAGATTCTGGGTGTTCAGGGAGGCTGACGTGATGCCAGGGTACCCACAGCCCTTATATCACTACGGAAAAGGCGTTCCTCCACACGGGATCGACACGGCTATCTGGTGGGAGCCCAACGGACACACATACTTCTTCTCTGGAGACAGGTATGATTCGGATACACGGAGCACGGAGGTTTTAACGCCGCGTAGACATCTTAATACGTCTTATTGTCTCGCAGGTACTGGCGATACAACGAGGAGACGCGGACCACAGACCGCGACTTCCCCAAACCAATTAGCAGATGGGGCAGGATCCCTCCCTCCCCTAAAGGAGCCTTCCTCAGCGATGATGGGGGTAAGTCGGGAGTTTAAATTGAGCAATTTGCCTGAGTTTTATTTTAGCAGTGGGAACATCCAACAGCTTCGGTTTATGAGAATCACAACAAACTTCAAAAGCTTCGCCTTCACTGTTGGAAGCAAGAGAACAGCCTGACGGAGCAGCAGGGTGGAGGTGGAGGGAGCGAAAGAAGGAAAGGTTGGAGGAACCGGTGAAGCCGGAGCAACAAAGCAGAGAGAGGAAGGAGAGCGCTGGTCTGTGGGTCGGCCCGTCCTTCCTTTTGGAAATGAGATGTGTGTCCGAGCAGCATCTCCACAGACGGTGTGCAGGCAGCCTGTGCAGCGTCTGTGAGCTTATTCATGCAGCATGTTGTCAATAAGTGCACGAAGGCGACAGATTTCAAAGGATTTATTGCATTTTGGTTTTATTTTATCCAATAATTTTGGCATACTTGACTAATATCGTCAGGCCTGGCCGTCACACTGTGCAGCGATTCTTTCTTATTTTTGCATATTTGTCGCACTCGTACGTTTCTGATCATCAAACAAGTTTATAATATTAGAAAAAATTAACCGAGAAATAGAAAAGACTGTTTTTAAATGATGATTTTATTTATTAGTCCACCTTGTGAAAAAGTTTCTGTTAGTAGGGGCGATCGTGGCTCAAGAGTTGGGAGTT